GTAACATAGTAATGCTTGGTACTGCTCTTCGACTTTCTTACGGCAGATCAACTAATTTCTTGACACACACACAAATACACACACACATACACAGGTACACACATACACACATACACATACACATAAACACACAAACCATACACACATACACATACACATACATATACACACATATATATACACATACGTATACATGCACATACATATATGTACACACATACATATACACACATACATGTATACATACAAACACACACATACATGCATATACACACATATACATATATACACACATATATATGTACGCACACATATATGTATACACACGTACATACATATACACACATACATACGTATATACACGCATACATATACACACATAAAGACACATATATATACACATACATATACATACATATATATATATATATATATATATATATATATATATATATATATATATATATATATATATTCGCTTCCGCTGAATCTACAATGATATTGCCATATAATGCCAAATACATCTCTTAATGTTTAGTACACCATTTTGTAAAAGGAGGTTTTATAGTGTAATAAACGATGTATTGCAAACTCTTCAACATATCTTCTCATTCAATGAAATTGTGTGTAAGGTTTCTGCTGCTTATTCCCGCCTTTTAAATCCCTTCTATAAAAGGATTTCACGCACGGTCCAGATTGACACCCGCCATTGAAGGCGGGCCCACCTTTTGGAAAGTTGCCAGATACATTCGGGATGGGTCGCGCCTCTAATTGCTACCTTCGGGGATAGGCGGCATATCTTTGGGACCTCCTGCTACGCCGCCTTAATGCGTGGTCCGTGGTGTAACTACCCGTATAGAATATTACGAACATGGCGTGCTCGAGCTCATAATCTCGCAACATTTCTGATTCTCTGCAATTCGCGCACTAATTCACCTCGCGCCTATCGCGATGTCACAACATCGCAAACCTCGTAACATCCTCGCATCCTCCTAACAACGCGCCGATGTTGCGAG